GTAGCCACGGGAAATTCATACAACTATTAACTGTCTTGGGGTTTTTTTGAAATTCAGAGTCATCTTGGCTTTCTCTATGTTTTTCTACTTTTGATGGAGAGTTGATTTAACCTCTCTGTGCCTGGGATCCCCATGCATAAAATGAAGATAATAATATTACCCCCCATCAAGTCATTGGAGTCCTGGCATGGCACTGCAGAATAATGTGCTGGACTGTAAGGTCAGCTTGAGCCGCAAGGTGGGAGGTTCAAACCCACCAATCACTCCTTGGAATCCCTAGACAGGGTTGCTATGAGTTGGAACCAAGTTGATGGCACTTAACAATAACAATGGTAGTGGTTGGTGGTTATGTGCTGTGGAGTCGGTTCCAACTCATAGCAACCCTGTCTAGGGTTTCCAAGGCTGCAAATCTTTACGGGAGTAGAAAGCTTCATTTTTCTCCTGTGGAACGGCTGTTAGTTTTGAACTGCTGACCTTGCGGTTAGCATCCAGAGTCTTGACCACTACGCTACCAGAGCTCCTTAAACAGCAACAGTAGAGTCATTAAATGAATTCATGTAAAATTTTGTTATCAGCATACTGCCTGGTCCACAGTGAATGTAATTAATTATTGAGTCCTGGTGTGATGCTGTGGGTTAATGCGCTGGACTGTAAGGCCAATTTCTGAGGAGTGACTGGTAGGTTTGACCTCTGCCCTTTTGGTTAGCAGTCCAGTGCTGACCCTAGAATAAGGACAGCAGTCAAGTTTACCAGCTGCTCCTTGGAAACCCTATATAACTCGACAGCACTTAACAACAACAACCATTACTTCAAGAAAAACAACAGCACACATGATGATAAAAGGCAACCAACAGTCAGCCTCCATACTGAGGCAATTAGGAATGGTGGGGTCTGTGGCAAGCCAGTGAGTATGTCCCAAAGGGGCAGCCTTTATTCAGCCTGGACTGTTGTTACAGGTCCAATTGTCCAATTGTCCATAACTTAGAAATCTAGATTAACCCAAGAGCAAAGCTTGTAAATCTTTAAATAGTGACTCCCATTTAAACACACACACACACACACATACTAGCTGTGACTTATAGCTATAAGGCCACCTTTGATATAATAACTTTAAAAAGCAGACTTTTAAATGTGCATGTGATTATAACTACACTTCAATAAAGAATATCTACTAAGGATTGAAGAGCTCACTGGGGAGCCAAACTCTGCAAAAGTACTCAAAGACTCAAATCATTTCATCTCACATTCGCCAGGGCAAGGTAGTGGTCTGCTTTCTGAGAGACAGACAAGGAAGCAGAGGTTAAGAGAAGCCAAGGACAGATCCAAAGTCACAAGAGCAGAAAGTAGAAGAGTGGGGATTTGAACCCAGGCAGTCTGGATCCAGCATAAGAACCATCATCCCTGCTTCTGTGAGACAAAACACGAGAAGTTATCTGAACCCAGCGGCATTCAGCAGGAAGGATATAGCATCATGCCATGAAATTAATGAATTATTTTATCATCCATATTTCTACTTGAACCCTCTGGGTCTTGGCAGGAGAGGAGAAGGGAGGAAGGTTTTCTGTTGGGGTTTTGGGGTAGGGTGAGGTGAAGAAGAATTGAGGGGAGGGAAGGGTGAAATCTGACAAGATGTTGTACAGGCAGCAAAAGCGGAAATCGAGTAGGTACATTTCTCAGAAGTTTGAAAAATAGGTCAGTGACCTGGCCTAGGGGGCTTCCTGTCCTCACAATATGATTATCTGAAATCATATTGAGGTCCAGCTCTCCTTTTGCACTAGCCCATGTCCCTGTAAACTCCCAGGTCTTCCCTCCTCCTTGCCCCTTCTTCCTCCTCAACTCCTCACTCCTTCTTCCCTTCCCTTCCTCCCTCTACTTCTCCTTTTAGCGACCCCCTTCTTTCTCTACCCCACACCCCACCTCCTCATCTACCCTCCCTTTTTCTTCTCTACTCACAACTGGAAGGTCCCTCCCAGGAATGATCTTTAGAAGCTAAAGCTGGTTCATAAGAGGTTTCATCCCCGGGCGGAAGGCGGTGGTTTTTATAAATACACTGCCCTCACACCTCGGCCTCCCCATCAAACCACGGAAACAGAAAAGCTCTGATGAGATTAAAGAAAACTCCAGCTGGGGCTGAGACCAGACATCTGGGGCTGTCGCACCTCTCACCAGTTCAAGGGAGGGAAGGATGCCGGAACTCTTACCCAGGACTGAAGTTAGTGTATAAAAATGCAACTCACACGAGATGCCTCCCCCAAAAAACCCACTGCCACCAGGTCGGTTCTGACTTCTAGCCACCCTATACAACAGAGTACAATAGCCTCATAGTTTCCAAAGCTTCAATCTTTACAGAAGTAGATGGTTCCAGTTTTCGCCCTCTGAGACGCTGGTGGGTTTGAACCAATGACCTGGCAGTTAACAACCCAGTGCTTAGCCCACAGAACCACCAGGGCTCCTTACGAGACACCTGTGTTGTTAATGCTGTTGTATGTCATAGAGTCCATTACAATTCATAGTGACCCTTATAGGGTTTCCAAGGACCGGCTAGTGGGTTTGAACTCCTGGACTTGCAGTTGTCCAATGCTTATCTTACAACATCATACCAGGACCCCTATGAGACACCTACTATGTAACAATTGCCCAACAAATGCTTCTTGTCGTTTTAGGTGCAGTGGGATTGGTTCCAACTCTCCACGAAACTACCCGGTCCTGAGCCAATCCATCGACTTCATTGATATTTCTCCATCGCTTCCAGCATCTGAGCCTTTAATGAGCTCTTGCTGGGCTACAGGCACCATGCCAAACAGTTTCCATGTCTGATCTTATTTCATGTCTATCACAAACTGGAAAGCAAGTATCGTCTGGCCTACAGTTAACGCCTTGCAACAGATATGGAAACTGAGGCACTGACAGGCAAAGGAACTTGCTCAAGGTCACACAGTCTGTAAGTGGCAGAGTGGCACTAGAAGCCAGGACCATCTGATGACAACGCCTACTTTCTTCACCCCTGTATTGTATAACAAGGACAATAACAACAGTGACAATAATAGTGTAATCATTCATTTTCACTTCCATGGTCTGTGCTTTCATCTTAGGGCCCTAGGAATGAAGACCCCTCGCCCCCTCCAGCCACACAGGGATGCATGCTCATTTGCACAGGCTCACTAATGTTGCTCTGTAGGATATGTACTGGACTGCTAACCTCAAGGTCAGCAGTTCAAACCCACCAGCCGCTCTTTGGAAACCCTATACAGGGTTGCTATGAGTCGTAACAGACTCAACAGCACCTCAACAATAACAATCACATCCTTATCCCCCAACTCTGGCTTCTACCTACCCCCAAGTTTCCAATTGAAACTGTGCCCAAGGGTGATGTCTGCCTTGCAGGGCGAGATCTCTACCCTAATAGGAATCTTGGATTTGAGGGGAAGATGGATCTGTACATGAGGTCTTTGGTTTATCCCACGCTTTGTACATGGGGTTGGGCCAGCCCAGTTCAGGTTCCTCATCTGTAAACTCACCTTCATGGACCATTGTACCACCTGTTTCCCTGATCAGCTGCCTATTTGGGGCTGATGTGGTTCCTTTACCCAACTCTCCCCTTCCCTGTGGGGTTCTTGGGACCTGGATATTCCGTTTCACCTTTCCCAGCCAGTTTCTTCCCTTAAGAACGAGACTGAGCCAGATTCAAACATTTGCCATTTATTTCAAGGCCTGGGGTTGGAGACAAAGTCTGCTTCTAACAGTATGTGTTAGTCTTGGCTGGGGCGGCACCTCAGGCCAGGCTCTGTGTGTGTGTGAGATGTTGTGTGTCACTGTGATGCTGTGCATGTCTGATATGATAGGTGTAGTTGTGAGGCTGGGTAATGAGCTTGGCAATGAGGTAGTGTTTTTGACTGGTCACATTGTTGTCTTGTGACTTTTGTGTGCTTACATTGCACATGACCATAACTCAGCATCGATGACTGTGTGCGTGCATGCAGAGCTGTGACATGTGCAGGTGTGATGTAGTGTCTGAGGTCATGTCCTCGCCATGTTGCCCAGGGACCTATGTAGGACTTGGTTGTAGCGGCTGTCCCGTGTGTCTGTGACAGCACTGGCTTGTGTGCAGTTGTGTGATTGTGTGTAGATCTGATGCTCTGAGTACCCAAGTCTGTGTTGGAGCAAGGATGACTGAGATTATGGAGCTGCGTGGAGGTGTCTTTCTCTGCGGTAGGCATGATGATATATTCATTTGCTCTCTCTTTCAGTCAGCAAGCGTTCCCTGAACAGCTGCTGCCTGCCAGACTTGAGACCAGCACCATCTCGGCTCTGTGGAACCCCCACACTAGTGGGATGTGCTGGCGGATGCAGTCAGCGATAGATACATTGTAGCCAGTGAAAGTATTTACACCATGGAAAGTGACACATACTACAAAGCTGTCCCTCCCCCCCAAGTGCCGGATGCAGGATGGTCACCAGCATGTTGCTGGGCGTATGTCTGTGAGCTAAATGTTGAGTGACCAGCTGGAAGTGTGGCCACAAGCCCGTAGGTGGGACTTGAGTGTTGTGACTAGGACTGTGGGTGAGGCTGGGCTGGGTCCCCCACAGAAATGAGTGAGTGAATGAGTGAAGGTGATGAATCCCCCCACCCACACTCATGAGAGAGGGGTGGGTGGTGATGTCTCCAGTCAGCTTCCTGAACCCCAAGTCTCACTTCACTCTGAATCCCCTCCTCCCTTCTTCCTGAATATCAGGCATGTTGGTTTCACCCCACACTTGGGGGCTTACAGAAGTCTCTGGTCTTTGGTTTCAGTAGGGTCCTTGGTTCTCTACAGATGCCTGTAAGCTCTTCAGTCTTACAAGAGGCTCGATTATTGGTCCCTGGTGGTGCCCGCTGAACTCTCCTTTTGCTGAGTTTTGAGGTTCCCCAGGTGCCCCCCAAGTCTCTTTGTGCTGGGTCTTCTGTCTCCTGAGGCACCTTCGGAGGCTTCTGCCTGTCTGACCCCCCACTCAATCCATCATCACACCATGAAAGCACCGAAGTAGGACCTTGTGCCATCATGGAGTCGGACCAAACGCTGCTCAGGCACCCGGACGACCACCTCTTCTCCAGCCTCCAGGTGCACCACACCACCCAGAAAGCTGCTGTCCCACCAAACGCGAGAGTTGACCCCCCGCCCACAGGGTGACCTCCGGCTGACCAGGAGCTCCAACTCCTTGGGGTAGCGGGGTGTGCGCTTGTAGATGCCGTGGGTGACAGAGAGGCTGCCTGACAGCTCCTGTGGGCATCCCAGGCCTCCCAGCTGCACCTTGGAATAGATGTAATAGTAGCCTGCCTGGGACGTCACCAAGGCCCCATTGCGGTAGTCCAGGCCCCTCAGGAAGGCCAGGCCCAGTTGTGATTCCCACAGCAGTGGACCCCTACTAGCTGCCAAGCTGGTGTTGGCCCCTGGGAGAGAGATGAGGAGAAGCTGGTAAGTACATGTCCCAGGCCGCAGAGCCCAAAACCATTCTCCACCCCTCCCCAAGCCTCTACTTCAGTGCCAGGCGGTGCCAGGGCTTTATATATGTGAACTCACTTCCTCACCAATTTCTAGATGGTGAAACAGAGGCAGAGAGGCAAACTGATTTGCTTATCATAGGTCTTAACTCCATCCCCATTTTGTAGGTGGAGGAATTGAGGCACAGAGAGGCAAAGTCACTTGTTTTGATGTTGTTGGATGCTGTCACTTCAATTTTGACTCACAGCAACCCCATGTGACAGAGCAGAACTGACCCATAGGTTTCCTGTGCTGTCATTACGGCCGGTGAGTACCAGACCTTTCTCCTGTGGAAATTCTGGGCGAGTCCAGTAAGCAACCAAGTGTTTAACTATTGCACCAATTGCTGTGCAAAGAGGGAGACTGAGGCACTGAGCAATCACAACTCATAAATGGCAGAACCAAGGAACCAAGCTAAAACACCCAGCCCGGTAACCTCTGTGTGCCTCAGTTTCCATCTCTGTCAATGGGGCTACTAGTAGAATTGCTTAGGTTTTGATGAGCTCATCTGTGTAAGGCATACCCAGTGTCTGGCACATAGTAAGCACTATATGAAATTTATTCAATGAATAACATTTGAAATACACAGACGCAAGCCCTGGGCCATTCTGTGAGCACAGTGAATGAATGAATGAAGTGAATAAATGAATGAGTGAGTGAAGGCTGTCTCAGTGAAGCACGAGTGGCACTATGCATGTTGGAGGGTCTGTCTGGTCTCCCCAGGACACCCCGACACTCTCTCCCCTGTGGTGATTCCCAGAGTCCTCTTACCTGTGAGATGTGCAGCTGGGTTGGTCCGGTGGGACCTTCGATCTGGGGAGAGAGGGGCAGAGGTCAGAGGTGAAGGCAAAGGGAGGTTAGGGCCAGTCTTGGAGCCCAACCAGATTGGCATCTCCCAAGGGTCATGAGCCCACCTCTGGGTGCCAGCCCCACCCTTCCTGAGTGGCCCTAACTTCCGCTTCCCAGCCCGGGGGGGAGGGGCACCTATGGGACCAGGGCCAGTTCTGCAAATGGTGTTGAGCAATAGGTGGGTGTTGGGGGGTGAGCGTGGGAAACCTCCCTTCCCTCTCCCGGGGCCCTGACTTACCTTGAACTAGTTGCTCCCAGGAAGCTGCATCCCCCACCTGAAAAAGCAGAGCACGTCACGATGAAGGCTTGGGGCCATTCCCCTATATCACAAGATACCCTAGTATCATAGCAACACCCCAATATCACACCCAACCCCTTGCAGTGGAGCCTATCCCAACTTACAGGTAGGACGGAGAACAACTACCCATAAAGACTGCTTTACGGAAGCAAACCCCCACATCTTTCTCCCATGGAGCGGCTGGTGGGCTTGAACCACTACCCTTTTGTTTGAGCACTTTAACTACTATGCCACCAAGCGCCTCTCAGTCTCACACAGACATGTGGAGATGAGACGTTCAGACCATGGCTACAGCCACCTCCGCTCCCCCCAAAGACATGCACACGCCCAAGCCGAGAAGCCTCATAACCTTTCTGTGCCTCAGTTTCCCTCCCTTAGGCTTTGATGACTGAACCTGAGTAAAGCATTTCCAGAGCCTGGCATCTATGGTTGCTGTCATGGCTAACAGTCAGCCTATGGACGGTGGACCAACGCTGCCCAGTCCCAACCCAATCCCCGGAGCCCTGGAGATATCACAGGCCAATGTTCACAAGTAGAGCTCCAGGTCTTTCTGCCTAGTCTATCTTAATCTGGAGGCTCCGCTGAAACCTGTTTGGCATCACAGCCATATGGGAGCCTCCAGGGGCAGAGGGACGATTCCGGCATGGAAAGTGTGTATTGAATAAATAAAATTGCACAGATTGGATATGTTGAGACACATTGGCCTGGACACCAACACTTGGGTATAGACACAGGGCATGGGACACAGACATCAACATTTACACACAAGCACAACTACACAACATCGACAAGACACACCTGGGTAGACGGATGGTGGATCATGTGCAGCTAGAGACCCAGGAGCCAACACATGGACACAGATGGATGAGTGGACACACGGATACAGGGCAACAGCATAGGTCCATATGGACACTCGATCCAGATGCAAACAGAAGGACATGGGGTCAGGGAGCACAAGACCATATATATGGTCACAGCATTGGATACACCACCACAGGCATGTCAGACAGAACGACAGATCCACAGCCAACCAGGAACAGACGAGGAGTAATTAATCCTCAGAAAGGATTCTTAGCCATCACCACAGTGGAGAAGCTAATCATCGTCCTAATTTGTAATAAATAATTAATTATGCTGGGAGCCCTGGGTGGTGGTGGTTGTTAGGTGCCCTTGAGTCAGTTCCAACTCACATCGACCCTGTGTAGGGTTCTGAGGCTGACTTACTTACTTTTCAGGAACACAAATCCTCATCTCTCTGCTGAGGAGCAGCTGGTGGACTCGAACTGCTGACCTTGTGGTTAGCAATTCAGCGCTTATCGTACAGGGCCACTGTGCTCTCTGGGTAGTACACACACATATAAACACTCTGCCACTAGACTAAAGGATGGCTGTTTGAACCCACCCAGAGGCACCTTCAAAGGCAGGTCTGGAGAAAGACCACAGCTCTTCCCTGCCCACGTGTTGGGATCCACAGCAAGTTGCAACAACAGGAGAAACAGTATTGCTATTGGCTCGGATTCCTTGAGCATTTGCTATGTGCCAGGTGTAGCACACTGTAAGATCAGCACTGGACTGCAAACTACAAGATCAGCAGTTCAAACCCACCAGCTGCTTCTCAGAAGCCCTACATAGAGTCACTATGAGTCAGAACTGACTGGACAACAACAACAACAACCCACTGCCAAACACCACGCATGCCTTTTCTTATCTCATTCTCCACCAGCCCAACGAGGAGGGTACTCTTTGTATCATTCCCATTCTACAGATGAAGAAACTGAGGCTCAGAGAGGTGAGCTTAAGTGGTCAGGGGCTTCCAGAAAGTCCGGGGTTGAGCTGGACACTTCTTAGTCCTGCACACACACGGGGACACGGGAGACACCCCTAACACGAGCCCCCAGACCCACTCACCGGCAGGCGGGAGCCCACCTCCTCCAGACGCCCATTCAGCTGCAGCAGGAACCAGCCCTGCACCGCCAGCCCGGAGGCCAGCAGCAACAACACGAACCCCAGACCCACACGGGCAGCGCTGCAGGTCCGGTTCTGGCGACCGCGCCCCAGCCTCGTGAACGGGATGTCCGTCTGTCCGTCCACCACGAACACCGAGGGCCGCACCACAGAGTCCTCCATGCCCGAGCAGATGAGGTCCTGAGACGGCCAGGGCAGGGCTGGCAGCTGGGTCGTGTGGTCTTGGAGGAAGCCTGGATTGCCTAATAACCCTGCGCCCTGCACACTGCAGAGCATCACTCGAGGGCCCGCAGCCTTTAGAAGTGGGGTTCAGCCCCACCCCTTTCCCCATACGCCCTCCCCTCCTTCCTGTCCCCCACCCTGGCCCCATTCACTCTCACTTATTCCCTGTCTCAGACTTTCCAGAAACCTCTGAAAATGTGACTGAGGTGAAAGTTAGGGTGGGGTGGGGGAGAAGCTCGGGAGGCCCCTGCTCAGCTGCTTCCCTCCCCCTATCACCAAGCATCTGTGGATTGTTTCCTTTGTGCCAGGCGCGGTCCCAGGCTGGGGACTCGGCAGTGTCTGACACAGGAGACCCTGCTTGAAGGGCAGGCATCTAGTGAATGAGGGAAAATACACACAGGGGAGTGGGGGCTTTGTGGACATTTTTCCATACGTTTTTTGAAGCCCCTCTTAGAGTGTTTTGGCTCCCTGGGTGATGCTCTCCACTAATTGTCTCAGCGACAGCAGCAATGGGCTGAAACGGAACAAGGATTATGAGAATGGAGCCAGGACATGGCAGTATTTCATTCTGTTGTATATGGGGTCGCTATGAGTGGGAAACAATTTGAGAGACCCTAACAACTAATCAAAAGATTGATTTGATTTGGGGTGGCTTGAGCCCACACATTAGGACTGCAGAAAAAAGTCCTTGTGATCTCTTTCAGGAAAGATTACAGCCAAGAACACACCCCCACCCCACCCCCGCCCCATGGGGCTCAGTCTCCTTTGGCTCCAGGAGTGAAAATCCATTCAAGACCAATGGTTTGGTTGTTTAATTTCTAATACAGTGTTGTAGAAGACGACAAGGCAGTGGGAAAAGCTAGAGTTGAGTGAAGGTGTTGGGGGAGGTGTGTCAACACATATGTGCACATGTGCTGCATATGTGTACACGTGTGCATGCATGCACATGCATGTGTTCATATGTGTGTGTGGGTTTGTCCCCATCTGTTGTGTGTGAGAGGTACATGTTTGTGTATTGTGTATGTGTGCCATGTTCATGTGTGTGCAGGGGTGTGTATAAGTGTGTGTATGCAATTTTAAATTGGAGCTCACAGTCAGAAAATGGAACCAAGTTAACCATGGAACCCAGTTAACGATGCCAAGGATCTACCGTCCTGCTTCTGCCTTGTCCCCACATCCAATCCCTCAGAAAGTCCTTTCCGACCAACCTTCCAGACTGGTCTCAAACCCAGCTCCTGTTTCTGTGCTCAGAG